TAATATTCCTGGCCCTCTGGAATCTGAATCCTTCCTAACCATCTGCGTTTTCCTCCCCCTGCTTCTGGGCATGAACCGCGAGCTCTAGTCAAATGCATCTGCTCATTGTTCCTTAGAAAGAAATTGTGCTTTCCTGCCACCATGTTCAGGGCATTACCATGCAGAGAAAGCCTTGTCCAAACTTCCCCTCAAGGCACACCTAACGTCTCAGGGCACCTAAGAAGCCTTATCAAACCACTGAGTTTCGTAATTTTCCAGTCCTCAGAATTCAGAAGTACCAGAGTTCTGACATTTTTCTATGATGAATCCCGAAAGCTTCTCCAGTACCCATGTTCTGGAATATTTCCCTGCATAAGTCACCTTTATGAGTATTTGACCATAAGGAGATCAAAAAGGAATGTCAATATGTATACCGGATGGATAGCTACACCTACTTAAGTGATTTGCTCTCAAAACTCAGTCTCAGACCTGAAGGGACCACTTTGGAACTATTTTTTTTTTCTGCTTTTATCTCCCCAAATCCCCCTGGTACATAGTTGTATATTTTTAGTTGTGGGTCCTTCTAGTTGTGGCATGTGGGATGCCACCTCAGCGTGGCCTGATGAGTGGTGCCATGTCCGCACCCAGGATCTGAACCAGCAAAACTCTGGGCCGCCGAAGTGCAGTGCATGAACTTAACCAGTCAGCCACGGGGCCAGCCCCTGGAACTATTTTTATTATGCAAGCATAACCAGGATTCCAAAACCTGGCAAGAACTTTACAAGAAAGGAAAAATTACAGACTAATCTCTGTCGTGAACCTAGATGCAAAAATCCTAAACAAAATATCAGCAAATGAAATCCAGAGATCTATATACACAAAAAATGACAACACATTCCAACCAACTGGGGTTTATTCAGAATGCAAAGTTGGTTTAAGATTTAAAAAATCAACCAATGGAATTCACCAAATGGAGAGGAAAAGAATGAGAAAAATAAGGAGATTATGTCAATATATATGGACAGAGATTTAACAAGAGTTAACACTTATTCATAATGTTTTTTAAAACTTCTTAGCAAACTAGGAATAAAAGTGAAATCCCTCTACCTGATTTTTAAAAATCTTCAAAAACCTACAGCAAACACCATACTCAATGGTGAAATACTGAAAGCTTCTCCCCAGAAATCAGATACTGATAATGATGATTATTACTTCTATTCAACATTATCCTGGAAGTCCCAGCCGCTGCATTAAAGCAAGAAAAAGAAATAAAAGCATAAGAGAAATAAAATCATAAGGAAATATAAACAAATAAAAAGCAAACATATTACACTGTCATTATTTGCAGAAAATACAAGATTGTGTATGTAGAAAATCTAAAAGAACCTATAAACTATTAGAATTAATAAATTAATGTCACAAGATTGATGGATATATTATCAATATTCAAAAGCCAATTGCATTTCCATATACCAGCAACAAACAAACAGAAAACAAACAAAAAGACCCAAAAAGAAATCATTTACATTAGCATAAAGAAACATCAAATACCCAGAAATAAATCTAACAAAGAGGTATGAGATCTCTACATGGAAAACTACAAAACATTACTGAACAATTTTAAAGCAAACCCAAATAAATGGAGGGCTCTCCCATACTCACAGATCAGAACATTCAATCTTGTAAAGATTGACCTATAGATTTAACGCAATCCCAATCTCAAACTCACCAGGGTTTTTTTCACCCAGAAGTTGACAAACTGATTCTAAAATTCGTATGGAAACTCAAGGGCCAAGAATAGTCTAGGCAGAAAGGAAAAAGAATGGACCAGAGGCTCTACAACTACCAGATATCATAGCCTTTATCACACTTTAATAGTTCAGATGGTGAAGTATTTGGCACAAGGAGAGACAACGTGACCCATGGAACTGAATAAAGAATTCAGAAAGACCCACACATCTCTGTCACCTGATGACAAAGATGAGAAAGCAGTGGGGAAAGGATGGCATTTTCAGTAAATGATGCTGGGTCAAGTGACTATCCATACAGAAAAAAAAGGCTATCTTGATGTCTACTTCATATTACACAGAAAAGCAATTTATATAGATTGCAGATTTAAATGTGAAGGGCAAAACAATAGAACTTTCAGAGAGGAAAACATTCTTGTGACTTCAGAATAGGCAAAGATTTCCAAAACAGGATACAAAGCCCTAACCATAAAGGGGAAAAAAATGATAATTTAAAGTCTATTAAAATGATCGACTTCTATTCATTAAAAGATAACATTAAGAGAGTGAAAAGTCATCCCACAGAATGGTAGATATTATTCTCGATACATACATCTACCCAACCAAGTGCTGGTATCCAGAATAAAGAATTTTTATCAATTAGTAAGAAAAAGGCAGACAGCTGGAGCTCTCACACACTACTGGTGCAGATGTAAATTAGCACAACCACTTTGAAAAGTTGATCACCAGAATCTCCGATGACCCAGCAACTCTACTGCTAGGTATATACCCGATAGAAATCTGTCCTTCTTTAAATCTGCATACAGGTTACATGGGATGTGTTCATTTTGTGAAGAATTCATTGGGCTATATTCTTGGGGGGGGGTACTTTTCTATATTTCTATTATTTTATTTATTTATTTAAAAAATTAAATAATTTTTTTAAAGGGACAGCCTCACAGAACACAAGGATTTATACTTATGGTTCAGCAAAACTACAGATTATTACTTGTATTTGAAATCCAAGTCTCTCATGAAGAATCGAAACCATGAGTAATAGATTGAAAATATTCACTGTACTTATTGTCTAATATGGAATAATTCTTAAGATTGAGGGCTTTAGAGATAGAATCCCTGGGACTGGAACCCACCTCTGTCCCTCACTAACTGTGTGACATTGGGCAAATTACTTAACATTTCTATACCTCTGTTTCCTCATCTGAAAAGTGGAGATACTAATAATGGCACCTACTTTAGAAGGCTGCTTTGAGAATTCAACAAGCTAATTTCAGTGGGGGGCTGAGTGCAGTTTCTGGCACATAGTAAGCAGCCAGTAAGTGATTGCCATTATTATTAACGTTAACGTTTCTTTAACAAATATGTATAGATTCTTTACTCTGTGCAAGGTATAAAGTCAGTTGCCACAGAGATAAGAAGATAAAATGATTAAATCCTATGGTTGAAAACCCTAGAGAGCATAGGGCAATGACCCACACATACTATACAGTCGAGAAATGTTTGTCACTGCTGTTGCAGAGATGGTACTGAGGATGGTACTTTCATTTAAGTTACAGCTGAAGACTGGCAGGTGGAGAACCATAAATTCATATTCGACTTAAAGATTTGATTTGAGCACTAGAGGCTTAATAGTGATGAATAAATGAAAAGCAATAGGATATACTGGAGTATATGAGGGAGCCATTTAGTTTAAAACTAATTCGGCCTGAACTTGTTTTTCGAAAAAGGCCTGACACGGCCTGTTAAGCATGCATTGTACGTCTACTTTAAACATTTTCAATGTCCTAAAGCCAAGAATGATGCCCTTAAAGATAGGGATATTGCCTCACCCATATCAGCATATCTTTAAGGATAAGCATTTCTTCCTAGACACTAAGGATTAATTGCTGACCTGTTTTAACTCATCTTGTGACCAGCAACCTGCTGCCCACCAATTTGCTGTGCTCACCTTGTGACCACTGACTTGCTGTGCTAGCAAAGCATCTTGTGACAGTAGTAAGAGATATTCCTGTTATGTATGACATATGCTCTTCTTTCCAAGACAGTATCTAACCACTCTGTACACCCTACTTCTTTGGAGAGCTTCCTTCCTTGTGGAAAAGTTCTCCTGGGCTATCGTCTTCAAACTGCCTCGTAATAAATGCACTCCAATTTTGATTTATAGATTGATTACGGATTGTTTGCATCAACAGCAGTAAAGGTCCATGAGTCTGGAGATAAGAAGTTGAGAGGTTAATGAAAACTATGTTAAAATAAGGTGGGCTAGTGTGGTGCTTATAGCCCAGATGAACAGAGCTAATAAAATAAACAACTTACATCATACTGCTTATCCTCAGATTTTTTAAAAAAAATCATTATAAGACATTTATAAGAAACAAAACACTGGATGACCACGAATATTTTGACAATATTTTTTCTAAATAAGGGAAAGAAGATTCCCTTTAAAATGCGGAGTTATTTGTTGAGTCAAAGACCAATACTACCTCAAATGTCCAGGTTCTGTTGACCCCTTCTTCCATAACTCATAATCCCTCTTACCAAAACTAAACAAAACTCTGTTTCTTTGGATGCACTATTGCTATGGTTTCAAAATTTGGAAAGCTCGTTAGTAAATTTTGAGAGAGGTAAAGGTTGAGTGACAAATTCATGGAAACCCCTGATTCAACAACAACAAAACGATCCTAGGGCTCTACAGCCTTGTGGACCACTGGTTCCCCGTTTGAAATGCCCTCACACAGGTTGCTGGAGATTAGAGGACTGGAACTGAGTTTAGTATTCGCGATTATGCCTTATTTCTGGAAAGACTTGTTTCTGCAAGGTCCACCTAAGAAAACCAGCTACTGCATAATTGGTATCCCATCAAAACGAATGCCTTTCTTCTAAGGAAGTTCCGCTATAGCAGAGAGGACTGATACGGCGGAATCACAGGTGTTAGAGCTCGCGAATTCCACCAATAAGGTACGTTAGGAGGCAGGAGAAAGCTTCTGGCAGGTAGACACGGGGCCAGCTCCTCTCCACTCCGCGTCACGTGGGAAGGGAATGTTGGAGTCCCTTTCCCGCCTCACGAGAGGACTGGAGGAGCGCGCGGCCCTCGCCGCCTCCAGGCCCCGCCCCCTCGCGCACGGCCCCGCCCACAGGTGCTCCAGAGCTGGCAGCTGCCAGGGTAGCGAGGCCGGGGGCGGGGCTCACCCTTGCCCTCGGGGGCCCTCGCGCTCCGCCAATCAGCGAGCGCCCTGTTGGCCGTCCGCGGCTCCCGCGCCCCTCCCCCTCCCGCCGGCCTCCTCTTCGCAGAATCCAAGATGGCGGGATCCAGGCAAAGGGGTCCCCAGGCCAGAGCTCGGCGGCTCTTCTGCGCCTTGCTGCTGTCGCTCAGTCGCTTCGTCGGTGGCGATGGCGTGGGAGGCGACCCCGCGGCTGCAGGCACCCCAGCCGCGCTGCCACATCGCCGTTTCGAATACAAATACAGCTTCAAAGGGCCGCACCTGGTGCAGAGCGACGGGACCGTGCCCTTCTGGGCCCACGCGGGGAGTAAGCCGGGGCAGAGGGCGGGGGGCCCGGATCCCCTCCTCGCCTTGCGCCTCCTCCTCTTCACCCTCTCCCCGCTGCACGCCATCTGCACGGTGGAGGGGCCCCTTCTCAGCAGCCCCTTCTGCAGGTCGGCTCTGCTCCGCAAGGTTCCCGCCGCCTCACCCCCAGCCTTGCCCCCCGTTCTGTCCACCTGCCCTTCCTCCTGTCCTCTCTTCTTTGATCGCATCGGTTCTTTCTGTTTGATCTAGAGGTGTTTTGTTACTTCCTACGCTTCCAAGCGCTCACTTCAACTCGCTTCTGGGCATCACGTTTCAGCCTGCCGCCACGTCTCAAGGGGAAACGTCCCGCAGCCGCACCCCTAGCCATCCCAACCTGAGACCTGTTCGCGCAGCCCCCCTACCTCCTTTCCCGCTCCCCCTCGGCTCTCCCCTGCTTTTTTCCCTCCGGTGTTAGCAATGTAAGTTAATGCTCCAGTTTGTACCCCATACCCCCTGATGGCTCCAGAGATGGCATATGTTGGTTTTAGAGTAATTTTTAATTCCGTGTCAGAGGACGTTCTTCTCAGCCTGTTGGAGCTACACCTTAAATTTGCCTCTCTCCATGACTTGGTGTGGTCTTTGATCTTTTCTCTTGTGATAACACATTATGCAATAGTCACACTCAGTCCTTTATTTAGTAGAAGAAACGATATATTTTTTAGTATTGATTGCTTCAGAATTTGAGACTAAGAATAGCATTCTATCTACAGCTTTTTTTTTTTTTTAGTGTTTTTGAAAAGTTGGAACAAACTATGCTCCATGTTTTATTCACTCTGTGTTTGGCACTGTTAGTCGGTAAGAGAGCCTTGCTACACGTTTACATATGTGAAAGAAAACAAAACTGTCGTTTAGTGCTGATGTGTCACTGCTGACTAAGGAACCGGCTGTAGCACTTGGCGTGCTGTAAGCTCCGTTCAGTGACCGTCAGATGCACCCTTTGAAACAAGCGGCAAATGCCTTTATATGGGATGAGAAGCTCTAACAATTTGAATTCCATTGTTAAGTGTAGTTAAGCAATCATTTAGATAAGGTTTATATACATCATTTTAGATTGTCCAATGCTTGAAACAGAATGTTCCATTTCTAGAAAGTAATTACTGAATAGGAAGCACACTTTTAGGAAGGGCCGTTTGACTGAAATTAACATGTAATTAAAAGGTATAAATTTCAATTTGACATAATGACCAAGTTATTAAATTTGAAGCAGAGTGTAATTATTTTGTTACTCAGCAGACATTATGTGCCCACTCATCAAAGGTGTATTGCTGAACATTTGTTATCAAGGTAACATTGTTCTTAATACACAAAGATGATGCAGATATACCAAACACAGTTTTGGGGGTTTTTGTTTTTCTTTTTGGAGCAATGATGAATTTTTCAGCAGTGGTGATGAGTTTGTTCATACTTTTTCACTTCTGCATCTCTCCATTGCCTGCTTGCTCTTCTATCTCTTTCTCACACTTACCACCAGCCAATTAGCAATATTAGCCAATTGCTCAAATTAGTTACCTAACTACAGAGCCTATAACCAGCTCAGCTTGTCTGCTGCAGAAATGTCAGATGACATACTTGAACAAATTAAAGTTTGATGGCTAGACTGCATTTGAAATAGAGGGATTACTATTTTACCCATGACTTGTCTATCTCCTGACTCTGGGAATCACTGCTGTGGTATCCCTTGCTTTCATTTTCACTGTAATTTTTACAATTTCAGTGTTTTCTTGACTTCATTGATCATTGTTTCCCTTTTCATTTTGCCCTGAGATCCATTATTTAAAACAATTTTTTAAAATAGAGAAATTTAAGATGCAATTTAAACATGGCCCTTTACATTCATCCCTAAAGCAAGACCAAATCTATGGTGTTTCTTTTTCTCACCTCTAATGCCTTTTATACTGTCAGTACACATCCCTGGGTCCATAAGGGCAAAAAATGATAACAATTTGTCACTCTTTATAGCTCTCAGAGTTCTTTCACCTTCATTCTCTGATTTGATTCTTAATAGGCAAGGCAAGCATTATCTGTTTTATAGATGAAAAAACTGATGTTCAGAAAGATGAAGGTTCTTGGAAAGGGTTACATAGCTGGTGTCAGTAAACAGAACTCAAATCTAGGTCTTCTGATTCTATATCCCATGCTCTTTCCATGATGCCTGCCCCCAACCTTGCAGTGTTTGAAAGTGACGGTGACAAATAGTGGCTGATCTTAGTAAAGTATCTTAACTTTACTTGTCTTTTTGTAAGTTTTTCCTACCTGTAAAGAGATAATAGACTTATTTCCCAGCGTGGATGTCCAAACTGGTTAACATCTAAGAGTGTGCTAGAATTGTTCCAGTTTAGGCCTTTAGTAATTATGTAGTCCAATAATAGGAATAGCTGACATTTATTGAAACATTTACATGCACTTATGAAGGCACTTACATGCCTGTGAGGTTGTTAGAGAAATGGAGCAGCGTCAACAATTGAACAGCTAATAGGTGGTGGAGCTGGGACGTGAACCTAGTTTGGAAATGCAAACCACCATTTTGGGCTTCACCGTTCTCTCTGAGAATCTGCTGACGCTGAAGAACTGTTTATTGACTTGAAATTCAGTGGACCCTCTCCCTAGAAGAATGCATATATGCACAAAATTTTGCATATAACTTTTGGGGTGTTTATGGAAGTAATTGAGCCCAGCCCCTTCATTTTACAGGTGAACATATGGTGGACCCAAGAGAGTAAGAGAATTATTTGCTCAAAGTCACACAGCTGAACTGAGACTAGGAATAAGTCTCTTGATTCCTAGTGGTATGTTCTTTTCACAATGTTTGAGCTTTCCAACATTTGTAAACTGGTAAAATAAATTGCAGTTTTAAAAAAATAACATGCAAATTTTTGATGTATTTGAAAAAGAATACTATGAGGGGATCAAATAGTTTCTTTGCCTTTTAAGCCATAATTTCCTCCATCCTGCCCCTTGAGTTTAATTTTTTTTGCAATATTTCACTATTCAAAAGATAAGAGGGGAGGGTGTTAGAATGCCCTAAAATGTAAAGTTGAAATTGTCAACATGAAATTTTTTCGTATCAAAGTTATTGTACAGGTTACTGAGTTAAAATTACATCTCTATAGGTATGTGTAACCGTTTTTTAATGGTTCATTGAGTTTTACCTAATTATAACTTAAAGCTTTGCTTCCCTGGTTTTTGTTCTAGATGCTATTCCAAGTTCAGATCAAATTCGAATAACACCATCTTTAAAAAGCCAAAGAGGATCAGTGTGGACAAAGACAAAAGCAGCCTTTGAGAACTGGGAAGTTGAGGTGACATTTCGAGTGACTGGAAGAGGTCGAATTGGAGCTGATGGCCTGGTATGATCATTTCTTTAACTTAGAAAATGTATATAAATGCATATACCACCAGCCTCTCAATGGTCCCCGTTATATATTCACAGGCAATTTGGTATACAGAAAATCAAGGCTTGGAGGGTCCTGTGTTTGGATCGGCTGATATGTGGAATGGTGTTGGAGTATTTTTCGATTCTTTTGACAATGATGGAAAGGTATATTTGTTGTCAGCACTATTACTTGCTTTAATATGTTTACTAACAAAATTAGGCTGTGAGAAATAGAGCTTGTTTTACTGTTTTGTCAGTTTAGTAGAACTCCCCAAGCTATATTTTTAATATAATGGTTAGTCTTTATGTAACTGAGAATTTACAAATACAAAGCTATGAGTACATGGTTTGTCATACACCAGCTTGAGGCCATACGGGAGCCCTAACTCTGAGAACTGGGCAGTGACCTCCTGCCCCACTGCCCTGTGTGTGCTTTGATGTAACTTTGATGGAAGAGCATGAGTCGTTTAGAAGCAGGCAGTGAAACCAGTAGTGTTAAGAAAACTGTAACAGTTTTCGTGAAAATACCCATGTGCGTTACTACTGCTAACTTACGTACTAATATCTTTTCCTATGTTGATCACTCTTTTTGATCAGCCAGTTTCTCTAATGATCTCTCCTAAAACAGTTAAGGACAAAATGTGCTTACATATTGGAAACATTAACTTGTGCTTCAGCAGCCTTAAGATTGGTGATCTTTGTTTTAGGTTGTTTCTCTACTGATTTTCAGAGGTCATTGTTAAACAATTTGAAGTTGAACCGTAATAATTCAGTGAATGCTGCGGCCGTGTTTGTCCTGTTACTAAACTCCCATAAGCTCACGTTTGTGCCACGTGCATGGTGTCCTCAGATATGTGTTGAGGTTGACTATTCAAAGACAAGGCACGTCAATCTTTATTGCGGTGTTAAGTAACTGTTTTTGAATGATTCTAACAGTGTGGTAAATTTTTTCTAAGTAAGTGGAAGTCTCTTCTGGAGAAGTAATCCTCCAGAACAATCTAGAATTCTTTGATCTAAGGACTTTAAAACAAATACATTCTCTTTATTTTCAGAAAAATAATCCTGCTATAGTAATTATAGGCAACAATGGACAATTCCATTATGACCATCAAAAGTAAGTATGTGTTTTTTTACATTATTCCTGATTTCAGCTTCTTTTTGGAAACCTTATAAAATATGTTGTTTCAAATCTGAATATTTTTCAGATGAAATAAGATTATTCTCTTTCTTGAGATGTATTTTATAAGTTGGTGGAAAAGTCTTATTTTATTTGGTTCTGTTTTTAAGTTCTTTCTGTGGACTACCTCAGATTTCAAACATAAAAATGTGTTTCATTTACTCTAAAATTAGATAATACTTGTGAAGGTTTATAAAATGTTCCTGGCTCTCAGTGATGCCACTAGTCGTGTTTTTTCGTCTTTATTAAAAGGGATCTTTCAGAAATAAAATTCAGAGCCTTGACCAAACTAATGACTAAGCAGTTTACACTACCCGTTCAACCTTAGTATTGCTTTCTTTAAAGACTCTCAGTGGCTACAAAACTTGTAAGTGTTTAGTTTATTTACAATGTGTATGGATTAGGTATGTACATTTTTCATTTTTACATGTTTGTTGTGAGAGGAATTACCTTTTAGCCAATCAGTGAACTGTAAGAAAAATTCCTTATCCACACTCCTGTTTGCTGTTTGCTACCTTAGTGATTTCCGCTCTGGTAGTTTATCACAGTTGCCCGTGGAGCTATTTGGAGTAGACGTGCCTGGGCCTCTCTGTGGTTCTGCTTCAGTTGATTGAGGGCAGTATCTGCGAATTTGCTTTTTTGTGTGTGTTTGAGGAAGATTGGCCCTGAACTAACACCTGCTGCCAATCTTCCTCTTGGTACTTGAGGAAGATTGTCGTTGAGCCGACATCTGTGCCAGCGTTCCTCTACCTTGTATGGCTTGACGAGTAGTGTATAGGTCTGTGCCCAGGATCCAAACCCATGAACCCTGGGCCACTGAAGCAGAGTGTGTGAACTTAACCACTATGCCACTGGGCCGGCCCAGGATCTGCATTTTTAAAAGCTCCCTATGTTGATTCTGATTCTGCCCTGGAGTAGAGGACTGCTGCTTTAGTCAACTTTGTGTCTTCTGAAGAAATAACTTCAGCTATCCCAAGAGTTTGTCATAGCTTGATATTATTTTAATCTTCCCAAACATTAATAATTTCAAAAAGTGAGTTTTTAAATACTAAAAAGTTTTAAGTTTCTTGTTTGTTTTCCTTTCCCTCATTCTATAGTGATGGTGCTAATCAAGCTTTAGCAAGTTGCCAGAGGGACTTTCGTAATAAACCCTATCCTGTCCGGGCAAAGGTTATATATTACCAGAAAACATTGACAGTAAGTAACATGCATTTAGAGATAATCAAATTCTAGTAAGGCTTTTCATCCTGAATCCTTGACAGAAGTTAAATGTATTTAAATTTGGATATTGTTCATCAGTGTTACTCTGAGAGAACAGAGTGGCTTCAAAGCTCCATGTAAGTGGCCGCGTGTTATAAAACCTTGCCAGTAGGTTTGCATTTAGTTAGTAAATGTTTAAGCATCCTGCTGTATGCCACACATTATATACTTATCCAAGCCTTCAAGATACAAATGTGCCTAAGACAAAGGTCATTTTCTCCAAAGAGCTTGTAGTCTCATGGAGGAGACACTTAGATAGTGTTACTATGCTTTGTGATAAATGCTACCTCAGAGATATCACTAAGGGATCAAGGGTTTAGAATCCTGTCATCCTGACAAGCGGGAGACGGGAAGGTCAGGAAGTTTCTCAGAGTTGAACTGCACCTTGAAGGGGAAATAGAGATTTCCGAGATGGAGTGCATGTTCCAGGCAGAGGGCCTTGAGAGAAGTGGAAAGATTTGGGAAAGGCAAGTCGTCTTGTGTGCCTGGAGGATAGAGGAGACCCGTGGGAAGTGAGGTTGAAAGGTCGGCAGTAACGGGTCTTGCAGACCTCATTTAGTTTATTCTATAAGAAACTGTTAAAAGAGTTTTAAGCAGGAAGTGAAAGGGTCCAATCTGCAATTTAGGAAGCTGCCTTAGGCAGCAGTGTTTTTATAATGGTATTTGTGAAAGGAGCCAAGGATAAGATGATTTAGACTCCTTGGCTCTTAAGAGGCCACATCCTGTGCCTGGTACTTTATATGTGGTTTCTCATTTGTTCTTTCCAACAGCCTGCTGGGGTAGGCTTCCCCATTTACACACAGGGAAATTGAGTATGGGGGATTTTAAGTTACCTGGACAGCATCATACCAAATGAGTAACAGAACTGTGATTTAAACCCAGCACTAATTTAACTGCGAGACTCCACTTGTGGTGTGAACCAGGTAGAGGGAAGACAGAGGAGAGATGATTAGGAGGTGGAGACTATAGGACTTAGTGCTAGCTTGTTAGGGGGTAGGGAGGTGAATACAGATGCGGAGTCAAAGATAGTTCCTGAATTTCTGGCCAATTTTACAACTAAGTGGTTCCAGTAACTTGCCTGGTTCCATTAACTAGCCAAGAAGCAGCACATTTGTTTGTGTTTGTTTGAGGGAGGAGTGGGAAAGCAGAGGGTTGATAATGAGTAGACAAATTGAGTTTAGAGTAATACTTCGGTGGATCTATCCAGCTGGCAGTTATAATAACTAAGATCACTAATGCAGTGTCAGCTTTGTTTTTTGAAGACGCTATCTATATCTGGTTATACAATACTTATAAGTAAAAAATATTTTGTATAAATTTTTATTTCCCCTAAATCATGAGCTAGCCTTATACTCCTGCGTATAAAACTCTGAAAAAGGTGGTTCCTTGGAAAACTGTGTTGGCTCATTCTTATATTCCACGCTAATTTAGAGAGCTCAGAGTAGAGGAAGTGTCCAGTCTATTATGATTGACTTGGATTTGAATTCCACTGAAATGATACATCTTGTACAGTCTCATCAGGGTCATCAGTAAATCCCACTTACCTTCCTGTGGCAGAGCCCAGGCACCAACCATCACACACTTGAGCTGACCCATTGCAGGGAGGCCTTGAGCCCTGCCAGCAGTTCCCAAAACAATAGTCCTGCAAAATGTACTCCCACAGGAGTTCCATGGTCAGAAGAGATTGGGCATGAATGCGCATGTGAGCACATTAGAGATTCTGGGAGGTCCTGAAATAAAGAAACATTTACTGAATCCCACATTTTTCAGTCTTACTTGACCATGGAATTCTTTTTTCACCTAATATCTATGAAGGTCTATAGAGCCGGTGTTCTGAAGAATACATTCTAGAGAGACTTGGGAGTTCGCATGGCTATGACTCAGTGGTTCTATTCTTTGTTGGCTCAGTCTTTCGCCCCTGTAATTTTCTATCTCGAGGAATCATACTCATTCTTGAACACACTAGTTCAGATCCCTTTTTCCATCAGATTTCCCAAACATCAGCTCATAATGATCTGTTTCTCCTAAACTTGTATTTTTTTTCAATGCTTCTGTAGATTTTAAAATATATTGTCCTGAGTTGCTAGTTAACTCTGTGTTTGAATGTCTTTTCTCATCAATATAATTGTAAACTTCTCAGTGCAGGCATTATATCCTGTATTGCTCCTAGTCCCTAATATTGTACCCATTTTAGGTACTCAGGAGATGTTTGTTAAATTAGGACTTACACGCTTAACTTGTCCCAGCTGTTTGAACATCAGAGGGGAAGGCAAAGTAAGGGGAGCAAGAGATGCTATTGGTGGAGGAAACATGGTCAAAACAAGAGACTTTAAATACTGCTAGTATACTGTTTAACGGTGGGCTAAACCTATAAGGCGAATAGGAATGTTCTTGATGCCCTCGTAAAGGAGTGTTGCTGCTGTTAATCAGTGGACACGTTGTACGTGTACGGTCACAGTCCCCACCTTCCTCCAAAGTCATAGTACAATGAATACGTTGTACCCTTTTTTTAAAAAAAGAATTAGAACTAGACAGTAAAGACTCCTGATGAATTTTCAGTTTGTTGGGATTCAAGGAAAAATACTGAACAGTTAAAATAGAAAAGTTTTTAATATTGGAATTAGAATGGGATTAACTTAACCCATTTTTTTTTTAGCTCTCAAAGGCAGATGTCTTACTGATCACTGATTCTGATTTGAAAGACTCTGTAGAGGAGTGCCAGTTGTAAAAGGTGTAAACTGAAATAGGAGCGTTACTGATCAGAGGAAGCAAATATTAATATCAGGCAACTCAATGGCAGGTGATCTAAAAAAGTTGATAGTTCACATTTCCATCCTACGTTATATAGAGATTAACCCTTCACGTTGACAGGTATCTTATTCCTTGCTGAAAATTTGGACAGAATACTGTGACGTTAACCTGTGTGAGTTAATTTTGACTATCACTGACAGAACTTTGCATCTGGAAGTAGTGATTGAAGTGCCCTTCCTCTGGTGGCATGGACCTACTCCTTTTGCTTCCCCTCTATCCCATTGCCTCTTGGCTTGGGGTCAGGCTGGTGACTGGGTATTGAAGAGGCTACACCACTGCTTGACTGGGATCATGAGAAGAGTATTCATGTGTCAGGTGGATTCCTGAGCTTTCTTAGAATTCCAAGGTTTTTTAAAAGACATTTAAAGTCATTACTTCAAATATACATTCTGCAGAGTAGATACTTATATGTCTTTTTTTTTTAATTTTCTGCCTTTTTTGTCAAAATGACTTCTGTCACTTTTGCTGTCTCTCTTGTAACTTATTACAGTCCAGTTACCTCATTAATTTAATGAAGAGAAGCTCACTACTTGTTAAGGCACTCTATTTAATTTTCAACTAGCTGTAGTGAAAATTGTAAATTCAACCTCTTGGTTTGTCTCTGTCACCAAGATTGCGGAAGAAATCTGAGTCCTCTTCTGTCTGACCCATTCAGAGGAAGTAATCATGGTTCCCTAAGTCTTCTTGAGAGAAGGTGAACCATATTCTGTTTTAGAAAGATTTTCGTGAAAAGTTATCAGATTTTTCTCTTTAAACCTTTGACACACAGTAAGGTAAAAACTGTTTTCATAAGTGAAATAACTTGTGTAACGATACCGAAGAAGCGAGGTGATTTAATGGACAAGGATTACCCTTTGTAATAGGAGAGAAAGCTGATAGCTTTTTGACAGTTGGATATTAGACCAAATAGAAAGATCAGATAGTATTAGTCATAAATTGACTATTTGAAATTCATGTTACAGTGTCTGTTGTAAAACCTATAGCTACAGTATGTCTTTCTAGGTAATGATCAATAATGGCTTCACACCAGATAAAAATGATTATGAATTTTGCGCCAAAGTGGAAAATATGATTATCCCCGCAGAAGGGCATTTTGGAATATCTGCCGCAACTGGGGGTCTTGCAGGTAAATCTTACCCATTAATATTAAAAGTTTGTGAATTGAGTTTGATTGGGAATAGTATATGTTGGAGCTGCGTAGACTTGTTTACTCTTAACCTTGTGAGACTAGTTGTAACCTTCCCATAGTCTGTGATGCCCGTCATGTGGTCTCTTGGGACCGCTAATTCTCTACTTATGTTCTGTAGGTGAACAGTTGGCTGGGACTGCGTACATTACGTCAATGAGAGCTTCCGTTTGGCTGCTACTTCATAGTGAAGGAGACATATTTAAAGTCAAGGCTATAAAAGGCTCGTTGCCAAGAGCTTTAGGGTCCTAAGAGTTATCACAGCACATTTAAATGAATGTGGTAGCCTGAGGAAATATTACTTGGGACTAAACTGTGAACGAGATATATTTACCTTTTTTCTTCCACATGTATTGATAAATGAACTTACTATTTGACATTACCATCTTGTGTTTATATAGCGCATTGTATAATATTTTTATTATTTTCACATACATGAATTGTTTGTTACAACAACACAGGGTGGGAGGGAGAGAGGATAGAGCATATTTACCCTATTTTTAGATGAATTTAATCTGGGATTAAAGGACTTTCTCAAGATCACAGGCCAGTAGTGGTCAGCCCCAGGCAGGACTTGGGTTAGATTTCCGACTCCTGGGTTCAGTGCCTTTTTACACTGCATGACTTCTGAAGTTACTTAACTGGCACTGCAGCATACAGTTTGCTCTCTACTCTGGCTGCACCTCTAGATCTCCATGGTGGTGGCAGAGGGCATCGAGATGGCCGCACAGCTGAAATTAATTGCTCTTGCTTTGTGGATGTGGCTAGCCAGGATTGGTATTTTGGTTCAATATTATGAGGTTTGATCTGCTAGGTCCCTGTTTTCAGCTTAAACAGCTTGAAATTAATTTCATTTTTTTATGTGATTTAAGATAAAATTGTTAATGTCTGCTGTGTGAGGGAAATAAGTATGAATGATGTATAGATAAAGTAATCATATTATTGAAATCAGGATGCTTTGGGAGTACAAGGAGAGGCTGCTAGTAATGCCAGGATGACATGGATAAACAGGACTGTCCCAGTAAGCCAGGACAGAGCAGTGTCGTAGTTCTAACAAGAAAGTAAGGCAGGAAGTGATGAGCGCTGTGAGAGAGAATGAGAGACGGGCAGGCACAGGAAGGACGTGAAGGACAGGCTTTCGTCTCGTTAGGCTGGCACGTAGTCCACGAAGGAGATTGGTGGGGAAATACGGGAGGATCTTGGTTGCAGGATGAGGGGTTTGGGCTTGTTTTCACCCTTCACTTGTTTCTTCATTCCCTTATCAGACACTTAGTAAACATCTGTTGTATGTTAAACACTGCTGCAGTGTTCTGGTTTAGGATTTAAGAAAGTGAATTTTAGCTTATTTCTAATGTAAATCTTTCAGATGAATTTTTATCTCTAAGCTCACAGAACCCCACTGCCTTTACTAAATTAGAGCTAATTTTTGTTATTTCTCTTATTGATTATTTTTTAAAGCAGTAGATATCTATAAAGTAAATTTACGACCATAAAAATAATTATGAAACTTTTTTAGATTTTTTTTTTTTTAATTTGTAGATGACCATGATGTCCTTTCTTTTCTGACTTTCCAATTGACTGAGCCTGGGAAAGAGCCAGTAAGTATACACATTTTTTTCAAAAAGTTTGTTTTTAGTTCACTCGTATTGCCTCATAGCTGAAAACCTGGGAAGACTGACTTAGGTTCGGACCTCGTTTCTGCTAGTTCCTGCTGCATGACCTTGTACAAGTACAAACCTCTGTAACGCTGCATTTCTTCATTGCACAACTGAGGTTTCGTCCTGGCCACCTCCTGACATTGTAAGCCTTAAATAAGACATGCTCTGCTAAAAAGCACTTAAAAAATGCTAGTGGCTACTGTTACTCTTTGTTGGAATTATTAGTAGCAAGAGTAAATTGGCTGTGGTTTAAATAAGAAGTAACATTTTTATGTTAACCTTTCAACTCATGGTAGAGTAGTTAAAAGAGAAAAAGAACATATATTAAGGTTTATTTTCCTACCTTTTTAATTTTTTTATTGATCTCTTCTTAAATTCCAAAAAAGCCTACACTGGATAAAGAAATTTCAGAAAAAGAAAAAGAAAAGTATCAGGAGGAATTTGAGCACTTTCAACAAGAACTGGATAAAAAAAAAGAGGAATTCCAGAAGGACCACCCTGACCTTCAGGGGCATCCGGGTGAGTTGGAGAAAACTGTCCCCAGAGCTGCAGCAGTAGTTGTGGCATTCGTGTGTCACCTGGCCCTTTCATTCTTTTCATCCTCACTCTCTTACCTGGCACATCCCATGTCCTTTCTGGAAACAATTTAAGAGCAAATCGTTCGTCTTTAAAGGGCTTGGAGGTTGATGTTTATAGCAGTAAGAGTGTGCTTGAGTGCTGTGTGCAGTAGGGGTCCCGTGGGGCTGTGGATGGATGAACATGGACCGCAGGAGGGTGAGCTCCGTGAGGACGGGGATTTTGTTTGTTGTGTTTACTGCTGTGTCCTCGAAACCTAAAGAAAAAGGGAACAACAGCAGTGCTGACCTAGGAGTTGAGACTCAGTAAATATTTAGTCAATGAAATCATCCAGGGTTTCTGTCTTTCCTTTTAGTGGCACACAGTTACCTTGTTAATAGAGAAATAATACTTGGAAACTATCAACTATTACGAGAGTAATGTGAAGTGATTATCTGGCTCTCCTGCCCTTACTCCTCAATAGAATTCTGGACTTTAAAGGTTGAAAATTTTGAAATACTAGTTTAAGCCAATGTAATTAAGAACTTAAGTGTACTACACATGAAGAAAAAACATGTTAGGGCCAAATGGAGTGACTTTAAAAAATTATCTGCTAACTTTTATTGTCTGGGTTGTTCCCCATCAGCACGGTGTTCAAGGCTGTATTTCATAAGCCTGTGGCTAACTTTTGAACTCACCATGTAGTATGTGATTCTCTAAATGATCAACAGTGTGATTCAGGCTTAAGATAAAAATGAAAGATAAATTTCATTCTTTTATTCAGTTTGTGTTAAACATCACATATGCTTTGTGAGCATATCCTGAAGCTTATTGCAGTAAGTGTTTGAATGAAATGCTCTATGTTCAGCATGGTCAGGTATAAAAAGAAAATCAGCTGTTCTCAACTCCATTTCTTAGTCTTTTATGTAAGTAAAATGCACAACTTTTAAGAGCATAGTTTGATGAATTTTGACAAATGGGTATACCCACTTAAACCATCGCTCACGTCCATACGCAGGATATTTTTATCACCCCAGAAAGTTCCCTCATGCCTCTTTCAAGTCAAGCCCACCTCCACAAAGACAACAACTATTGTGATTTCTATTAACATAGATTAGTTCTGGCTGTTCATATAAATAGAATCACATAGTGTATTTGAAGGAGGAAATGATTTTTAGGTGAAAAAATTCAGACCTAATTTATCACAAGTGTTCAACCGCCAAAGACGGTAAAAACAAACAGTAATTGGCAGGGGAGAAGGGCAAAAGGGGTAAAGGGACACACGTGTATAGTGACGGATAAAAACTAGACTTGGTGGTGAACACAATGCAGACTGTAGAGAAACTGATATATAATAATGTACACCTGAAATTTATACAGTGTTAAAAGCCAATATGACCTCAATAAAACAGTTTTTTTTAAAACAGTAATTTAATCATGATTGAATTAATTATCTGCATGTTTACTATTGCGGAGATCATAGCCCTGTGTTGATGATGTTCTAATTTTAGTATATGTTGATACTTTGGTCACTTATGGTATTTTGAAAACTTCATATGTGTAGGTGGTTCTAACTTAATTTGTAATTTCTATTTCAGCAGATGAAATATTTGAGAGTATAGGAGATCGTGAGCTGAGACAAATCTTTGAAGGACAGAATCGTATTCATCTTGAAATCAAGCAGCTGAACCGACAGTTAGATATGATTCTTGATGAACAGAGAAGATATGTCTCTTCCTTGACAGAGGAGATCTCTAAAAGAGGAGCAGGAGTCCCGGGGCAGCACGGACAGGTGAGCTTTTGAAATGTGCAGGTATGCCTGAGTTAGCCTTTGATGGAGGAGAAGTAGGAAAGAGAGGCTGCTCTGCCGAATGTTCCTGTGGAATGTGGATTATTGAATGGCATCTTGTTTTTCCTCCAGATCACTCAACAAGAACTGGATACTGTTGTGAATGCTCAGCATGAGATTCTGAGACAAGTAAATGAAGTGAAGTAAGTGTACAAAAGTAGTGTCTGTTATGTGATATCTTTATGTTAAATTCATCACTTCTGTAGATGTGCAAGCACGTTATTGTAAGATTCCTGTGGGAGGGTAAGAAGCACATTCTAGATTCATTTTATAAATAGGGGAATATAAAGTACAGAAACTATTGATATTTAGAAACTGCAAACATGTCTAAATTTTTTAATTGTTCTAAGCTAGAAAAGAAAAAAATGCTTTAGCATCTTTAAGAACTAGTTTTGTCCCAGTTACTTAACAGCCAGGAATATTCATACATTTATTAAATATAAAAATAATATGGGTAATATATAACAATTCTATGAAAAATACTAGGGGAATAAGCGTGCATAGCATTGTAGGAGTATAATACAAGCGTATCTGATGCAGGAACTTCTTTTTGATGGAATGAAATCATTTTGAAGGAAGTATGCTATGTGTGACTACCTCTTTTTTATTTCATCTTGTACCCTAAGAGAGACAGGGTTGTCCCTAAGAGGGACAAAGGGTTGGAGCAGAGAGGAGATACTGTGTCCTTGGAACATTGATAAGTTTCTAAATAGGCTTCATTTATGCAGATAATTAACAGCTTTCAATACCTGAAACAGAGAAACAGCCAAAATGTCACATTTCATAAGCTAGTACTTTAGAGCACTGCCCCAACCAATACAGCCCTTGACAAACAAGAACGTCAAGGTGAGTTCTTTAGGACGGGAATATTAAACAGGATTAGGTTAAACAGAAGGTGATGATATATAACACCTAGTGATTAAAGGCAACCCAACTTGTAACTGCAAATTTCTATTTCTTTCCATTGTACTGTTTGGCATATTTAAAAATCTTTAAGTTGTAAACTCATGATTAAAATATTCATGATGCTAAATGAATAAATTCTCTTAGAAATAGCCTGGATCATGTAACAGTTTTTGAATTTTTATCGTGATCTAATTTTAGACTTCAGATGTTGCAAAAATAGCACAGTTTCCATATATCCCTTGTTCATCTTCCCCTAATGTTAACATCTTACGTGACCGTAGTACAATTATCAGAACCAAGAGATTAACATTGGTATAGGACTACTAATTAAACTAATGATCTCATTCAGATTTCACCAGTTTTCCACCAGTGCATTTTTTCTCTTCCAGGATCCTATCCAGGATCACACGTTGCATTTAGTTATTTCTCTTTAGCCTTCTACAGTCTGAAATAGTGCATCTTTCCTGGTCTTTCATGACCATGGCAATTTCCAGGAGCATTAGATCAGTTCTTTGGTCCAGTGTCCCTCGATTTGGGTTTGTCTGGTGTTTGCTCTTATCATGACAGGAATACAACAGTGTATCATGTGCATGATGTCGATGTATCTCATGACAGGTGATGTTGACTGTTATCGTTTGATTCTGGTGGTTTCTTGCTTGTTTCTGTACTTCAAAGTTACTATCTTTCCCTCGGAGGTTAGATATTTTGGGAAAGATACTTTGAGACTATGTAAATATCCTGTTTCACTTTAAACTTTTGCTTACTAGTTTTTAGCATCCATTGATGTCTTGTCTGAAACAAGAATGTGGTGTTTACCAAATGCTGCTTTGATTCCGTCTACATTTATTTATTGTAATTCCGTAAGGACCAGCTATCTCACATCCCCCATTTATTTATTTAATCAATTATTTATTTCAGTATGGACTCATGAATATTTATTATATGAGTTACAATCCACTACTATCATTATTTATTTTCTTGCTCAAATTATTCCAGCTCTGGTCATTAGGAACTCCTCCAAGTTGACTTCTGTGTTCTTTCAGCAAGACCCCATCCTTTTTCAGGCATTTCTTTATGTTCTAGTACTACCCTACGTTTCAGGCTCATCTTGTATTTTTTCTGCCCCACCTCTAGAATCAACCACTTCTTTACTGAGTGCTCGTTCTTTTTATTAGAGAAAGGTATTTAGAAACCAAGATCTGGGCGCTAGGTGTGCTCATTACTACTGGGGTGCCATTGCTTCTAGGCCTTCTTGGCGGACAGAGCTAGGGAATACAGGAATGTATGCTAACCCACACAGATATACCTATCTATATTTTTGTATCCATCAACCTACATTTGTATTAAAAAACCATGATTTATCTGGATACTTTGGATTCGAGTTGGACTGAGCACTACTAGGTTGATTTTAGCCTTCCTCCTTTCCCTGTTTGAAAATTCTTTCTCCAACAGGGAGAAACCTGGTTTTTATTATCTGTAGTATATTTACTTATTGGTTCAATTTTATTGTGCACATAAAGTACACACAAAGTGGTTTCAAATTGTTAACCCATATTCCTGTGAGAAATACATTTACTGACAGATTTATGTAAAGTTCCTTTTCATAAAGTTGTTTTTGCCTGTAGCCTTAACAGTATCTAGTCCAGACACCATTTTCCAGATAGTTACTTAGTTTAGTTCTCTTCTTCCCCACTCTCTTCAGTCTGGTTATGGTTCATTTACGATACAGTTAGGTTCTTTGTTAGTGTTTATATTCCTCCTACATCTAGTTGATTCTAATTTGATATTTTGGATATCTGAAGGGTATGTGAATACTGTGGTTCTAAGAGATTCTAAGAGCCAAAATAGATATATATTTATTCATTGAAGTATCACTCCTTCTTCAGCACTTCTACCCCATTCCCATGGTAACCCATCCCATTAATTTCTGGTTTGTTGCTTCTTGTATTTCTTCTGCACACGTGTATTGTCTTAGATCCCTCCTTTCTCATCTGACTGGCAGCATACTCAAGAGACTCTTGTGCTTTGCTTGTTTCACTTAACGGTAACACCAGAACATCTTCACATTCAGTTAGTGGTTAGTAAATCCTAGCTATCCAGTTGCATTATCCATGAAAGCACTTACTTAGGGTAGTTAGCAATCCTTGTAAATTCCCACTTACTAGTTGAGAACAGATGTCATTCATACAATAACTTAGTGTAAAAAGTGAACTCAAATTTCTGAATTTGTCCTCTAGAACTTTTTCTTCAGGATTAAGCTTCACAAAAAAATGTACGAAGATAGGAAATATTTGCCTTTAATGGAAAAGGTGGTTTGTGTCTTCAGGCATTTTCATATTCTTAGGGAATCATAGCAGAAATGTGTAGTTCAACCCGTTTCAGTTCACAGAAAGAGAAAAAAAGGCCCTGAATGATAAAAGATGACAATATGGATCTAGTTCTAGTTCTCGTTGTCTCCTCACTTTCAAGTACTCTTTCTAGCAAACCATAAAGCCTTGACAGTTTTGTTTTCATTATAGAAATTTTCAAATACCAAAAAGTTGAGAATAATATAAGAGCCCTCCCTCATATTCCAATCGCCAAGACTTTGAACAGTCGTTAGTAACCAGATGTTGTCAGCCTGGGCCATTCATTATAAAGGGCCCCCATCAACCTCTCTTTAAGTTTTAGTAGCCAGTGATGGCCATAGCCTGAATCCATCATTTCATTGGAGGTTGGGGAAGAGTTGACACTCCCATTCTAAAACTCCCTCTCCATTTAAAAAGAATTTTTCACGTCAATTCTCTGTTATCCTGAAATAGTTCAGGAAAGGCAAGATAAATACTTGATTCTTTCTCCGTATTTTTCAGAATAATGAATTGGTGCTCTGGCAATCTCCACTGTTAAACAATGTGGTATTGAGGGGTGATTTTTTTTTTTCAACTCATGGATTTTAATGTATGTTGCTGTTTTGATCCACTAGTCTTTATAATTGATGTCAAAATTGTCTCAACTTTGGCCGCTAGCAGCCCCTACAAGTTAGCTTCTGTGTCCTGCCCCATTAGTTGCTGGTGGCTTCCTTCCTTTGGGGTGTGAGACTTCCAAGGGTTCTCTTGTACATTTCTGTGTCACACGTGGCAAAAGGCATTTTTCTTTGGGACCCTGGTCTTTTAGTGGGAAATGGTATTTATAGACAGTCTAGTGCTGATTGCTACTGGATTGTCATTGCTTCTAGGCCTTTTCAGTGCACAGTGTTACAGATACTGTTTGAGCTTTGCCGTTCATATATGTTGGCTTGTGTCGTTTGTTAATTTGTTATATTTTTTAAATGCTGAATTCAAAGTATAAATGCTCTTTTTTGGTGAGTAGGCAGCATTTAGCATTTCTTGTTTACCTTTATCTAATTAATGAGTGCCTGTTGCATTCTAGGTACTGTGCTAGACATTTTCACATGAATATTTCATGCTCTTCTGGGACCTTGCTCTTGGTTACTCTCTTCTGTACCTTTACCCTGTCCTGTAATGTAATATTTAAGCTGCCTAGCAGTCTTTATTCACTCTTGATCATCACTTATCTCATTCAAAATATGCAGCACTCTCCTTAAGCCCCATAACCCAGCCCACCAATGCCACTCTGCCTGGGAGATGACCTGTCTCCTCGCCCTCCTCTCTGTGCCCCAGCCTCCCTCCCCCACCGTCTCCATCCACTCAGCTGTGTCCAGGCCAATCCTTAGCTCTGCATCAGACTCTCTGCTTCTCTGACCCGTGCTCTGTCAGTGGTCCTCTCTCCGTCTTCTACCTGAACTTGTCCTTCAGTGCTGCTGCTTCCATTTATAAAAGCGCTTGTGCTTGTGTTATTCAGAACTAAGCAAAACACACCAACCTTTAATTGCCCCTTTCTATTCCTTTTACTGTTGTTTCTCTTTTCCTTCCTTTTTAGCTGAGTTTCTAAAAAAGTGACCAAGCTACCTGTCTCTGCTTCCAAACCACTGTAATTTGTCCTCATACCACTAAACCGTTCTTTCTGCAGTCACTCGTGCCCTCGTAATGAACACCTTCAGTCTTCCTCTGTCTGGACTTCTTGTGCAGCTGACGCTTTTCCCCACTCCCTCCACCTTGAGACATTTTCCCTGTAAGGCTTCTAGCAGACCTTTCGCTCTTGGCGCTCTGTGGCCTCTTGGCTTCCGTTTAGTTTTCTTCATCCATTGCTCTTCCTTCCATCATCCCTTAACACGTGTTTTTGTGTAGGGTTCTGCCCAGCCCTCTTTTCACTTGACCTGTTGCCTAAGTTAAGTATACCCTCCTTCCCGCACAATCCCACCCTCATAGGACCCTCCTTATCCTTTAACAACTCAGCCCCCCCAGGTGCCTAGCTGAGTTACATGCAGCTTTCGTCATAGAACCCTAGATGTGCCTCCATCACGTTGCTCTCCTGCTAGACTATTTATTAGTCTTGGCAGGGCAGGAATTGTCTTTTTCTCACACTGTTTATATCCCTAAAAATACCTGCCTCATAACATGTACCAAACAAATGTTAGGAGAATCAACAGGCAAATGAATGATTAGGAACACATTAAGTGACTCAACCTTTGTATGATGGAAAGATGTTTATATCTAAGCAAGTTCATGCTTCTGGGAAGCAATGTTTTTAAATGCAGATATGTGAGAAAGTTACAGATTCTGGGATGCTTTATTCTTAGTAAGTATTTTAGATGTATTAAAATGTAATTCTTAATTTGGGTTTTAGTGGAAAAGCTTAGAATTTTTTTTGAGCATATGTGCCATTAAAAGAAATTTTAATCAGCATGTCATTTATTCAGAAATCACTTGAGATATTTTGTAATATAAATGTTAATAAGATAAACTATTTGCCATTTATAGAGCTTTTTAAGTACTCCTAGGTAAAATAACCGGACATTTTCAGGTAAATTGAAATTCACATACATTCCTTTCTTAATAATAGGCCTGTTATATTTCTACCATTATTTAAAAAAAATGTTTGTAATCTTTTACTATCATGCTTATAGACTCATATCCAAGGGCATACTCAGTGGTAGAGCTCTTTATCTTACATCTGAATAGTGGAATCACATTTTACATGCAGATTATATTCTGAAGTCAGTGTGTAAGGGAAAATGTTGTATAAGGTCAAAATTACCCTTCAAAAACATACCACGTTGGAGACTTTCCATGCCATTGCTCAGTATGCCAAACAGCAGTTTTTCCTTCATCTTTGAAACAGATAGATGCTTCTTCAGTTGAGTTCTAGTTGAAGCACTAGGTTTGTATAGAGGGGCCGTCTAATAGAACTGCAAGGAGAAATAGAATTACATTTGTCGTAGGGGTCCCCAAGACCACCCCTAGGTTCTGTGATTTGCTGAAAGTATTCACAGATCTCAGAAAAGCTGCTACAATCACAGTTACGGTTTATTACCCAAAAAAGGATATGGAATAAAATCAGCAAAGAAAAAAAGTGCATATGGTGGAGTTGGAGAACCCAGGCACAAGCTTCCAGTTGTCCCCTGCCAGTGGAGTCGCATACAGTGCTTATTCCTCTCAGCAGTGATGTGTGACAACATGCACAAAGTGTTGCCAGCCGAGGAAGCACACCCAAGCTCTGGTTCCCAGGATTTATCATGTCAGTCACATAGGCATGGAGCACCCAATTGGCTGTCCTTAACTACTCCATCTCCGGTCCCTGTAGAGGTCAAACTGATAGAATAGCCTATGGCCCCAGGCAAGCAAAACATACATCACATTGCTGGCATAAACTATCTGGTGTGGCCCAAGGCCCCACGGGGACAAAGACACTCTTAACAGGCAGGATATTCCAGGGGCTTGGAGGTTACCTCCGGGAGTCAAGGGCCAGTCTTGAAACCTTTGGAATGTGCAGGGTTTGGGCATCCCAGGCCTGATGGGTTAATGCTTTATTGCACTACGTTAAACACCTAGGGAGATTTAAGTTCATTAAAAGTATCATCCATTATGTTATTCAATATCCATTTATGGTATTGGTTTTAACACAAATTATTTAATGTTACTCTCTCTCTGTGGTTATTCTCTATGTAGTTAGATGACCTTCAGTAAAAGATAAAGGCATAACGTTAAGTTGTAGTTTTATGAATTACTTTCCGATCTTGAAGACAATTCACTTTTTAAAATGTAGATTTTCTTTATCTTTTTTTTATGATCTAATATATTGGGCTTAGAAATGTAACCTACCATTTGAAACCTGTGACTGAAGAAATCATCTTTCTGGTGATTCCATTGTGTGATGGGATTTTCTGTTTCAGGAATTCCATGAGTGAAACTCTCAGGCTGGTCAGTGGCATCCAGCATCCTGGCTCTGCAGGGGGAGTTTATGAGACCACCCAGCACTTCAACGACATCAAGGAGCACCTTCACGTAGTGAAGCGGGACATAGATAACTTAGTGCAGCGAACCCTGGTGAGTCCTTTCCCTCGAGTTTGCTGGTTATCACTGTCTTCTTTAGGAAAGGAAGAACACATTGTCTACTTTATTCTGCTGCCAGTGTTTCAACTTTTTGGTTAATGCTAATGCTCTTTTTTTTCCTTTTTTTTATTGAGGTTATGATAGTTTACAACCTTGTGAAATTTCAGTTGTACATTATCATTTTTCAGTCATATTATAGGTGCACCCTTTCACCCTTTGTGCCCACTCCCCACCCCCCTTCCCCCTGGTAACCACTAAATAGTTCTCTTGGTCCATGTGTTTGTTTATCTTCCACATATGAGTGAAATCATGTGTTGTTTGTCTTTCTCTGTCTGGCTTATTTAGCTTAACCTCAAACCCTCAAGGTCCATCCACATTGTTGTGAATGGAACGATTTTGTCATTTTTTATGACTGAGTAGTGTTCCATAGTATATATACACCACATCCTCTTTATCCGCTCATCAGTTGTTGGGCACTTGGGTTGCTTCCATGTCTTGGCTATTGCGAATAATGCTGCAATGAACACAGGGGTGTGTAACTCTCTTTGAATTGCCAATTTCAAGTTCTTTGGATACATACCCAGTAGTGGGATGGCTGTGTCATATGGTATTTCTATTTTTAGTTTTTTGAGAAATCTCCATACTGTTTTCCATAGTGGCTGAACCAGTTTGCATTCCCATCAGCAGTGTATGAGGGTCCCCTTTTCTCCACAACCTCTCCAGCATTTGTTATTTTTTGTCTTGGTTATTATAGCCATTCTAATGGGTGTAAGGTGATATCTTAGTGTAGTTTTGATTCGCATTTCCCTGATGATCAGTGATGTTGAACATCTTTTCATGTGCCTGTTGGCCGTCTGTATATCTTCTTTGGAAAAATATCTGTTCATATCCTCTGCCCATTTTTTGATCAGGTTGTTTGATTTTTTGTTGTTGAGTTGTGTGAGTTCTTTATATATGATGGAGATTAACCCTTTGTCAGATATATGATTTACAGATATTTTTTCCCACTTGGTGGGTTGTCTTTTCATGTCAATCCTGTTTTCCCTTGCCTTGTAGAAGCTATTTAGTCTGATAAAGTCCCACTTGTTTATTCTTTTGTTTCCATTGTCCGAGAAGACATGGTGTCCAAAAAGATCCTTTTAAGACTGATGTCAGAGTGTACTGCCTATATTTTCTTCTAGAAGTTTTATGGTTTCAGGTCTTACCTTCAAGTCTTTGATCCATTTTGAGTTTATTTTTGTGAATGGCGTAAGAGAATGGTCTGCTTTCATTCTTTTAGATGTGGCTGTCCAGTTTTCCCAACACCGTTTGTTGAAGAGGTTTTCCTTCTCTGTGTGTGTTCTCAGCTCCTTTGTTAAAGATTAACTAGATGTGTGTTTTTATTTCGGGACTTTCAATTCTGTTCCATTGATCTTTGTGCCTGTTTTTGAACAATACCATGCTGTTTTGATTACTATATCTTTTATATTTTTGAAGTCAGGGATTGCGATGCCTCCAGCTTTGTTCTTTTTTCTCAGGATTGCCGCTGATGCTCATTTTTAATATTCAAGGTAGAATTATTCCATATGATGCAAATGTCTATGTGTTCCCCATTGTGCTTCCATAGCCTATTGAATAGATTTTTTTTTTTCTTAATAAATTGCTATTCCAATTAGTGGAGCTATCAGTCTCAGGTATTTTTCCCCCTAGATTCTTTTCTCTAAGTTTTCTTAAGAAAAAATAAACATGGCTCTGGTTATGAGGAATGATATCTTTAAACAGCTTTGAAAAAGATAAATCTTTCTCTTGACAAACCCTTTTGATGAACAGACGCACGCTGGGTAACTCGTACGTCCTTCTGTCCGGGCTGTTAAGGAAGCACGATTGCACAGTGCACTCTGAGTGACGGCAGCTTTCTGTAGGCAACACTCTTCTTTTTCCAGCTACTTTTGCTGTCTCACTTGGTTCATCTTTTGAAGTTTGTTTGTTTGTTTTTTAACTTTGTTAGGTCTTTTTTTAGTGTAAGCTCTATCTACCTTTTTGGAGATTGGCGATAAATATTAAAAACAGGTAACGTTTTTTCAAAGTTTAACATGCATAAGAGACAGTATTAGAAGGCAAAACTTTGGTATTTTTAAATTTTTTTAGTTTTAAGTTTTTCACTAACTTATTCCTTAGTTCTGTTTGAGGTTATTTTCCCCCATCTTTAGCCTTTGTTGCAATGGCCAAGTTGATGCTGTGGGTGGTATATATGTACTGAAGAACTTGGTCCCAACTTTGTCTTAAAAGCCATTCTGTTTGGATATGTTGATGAAATCTTTGTCCCTGGTATTTAATTACCTCCTTATAAGAGAAGGAATACTCATGGAAATAGGAAAAGAAACATTTTTCAAAATACGAATTACCAGTGTTGAATGCTGGGAGATTGGGGAGGATGTGAGAGCTGAGAAAAAGCCATTATATTTGTCATGTAGTTCATTGGTAGGCTACCCATGTAATTGTCTGCACCAGAACAGTTTTGAGAGTGAAAGTGATGCTATTTGTAATTCATACAGCAAGTGTAAACTGGAAGCGTCCAGGGAATTCCTGGTCTGTGACCTTCAAGGACACTGAAGTCATTGTCACTGTGATGAAGATAGGAGCCAGATGACAGTGAGTTAGTGACTAGACAGTGAAAAGGTGGAGGCCTTCCAGTGTCAACTACTCTTTCAGAAAGTTTGGTGGTAAAAGTTGAGGGAGTGGGAGATATTTATGGGATGAATAAATGAACATACTTGAGTTTATACAATAGACCATGAGTTCTATAAAGATTTCACATTTCTTTCTTTTTCTAAAATACTCATTTGACTAATTGTAATAGAAAGTTTTTTGTCTTACAGCCATCAAATGAAAGACCAAAATGCCCAGAACTACCACCATTTCCATCATGTTTATCTACGGTGCACTTCATTGTATTTGTAGTGGTACAAACGGTGTTATTCATTGGTTATATCATGTATAGGTAAGTCTCTAAAATTTGACCCAAGATTTTTCTGTATTTAATTTTATTTTTTTGGTGAGGAAGATTTGCTTTGAGCTAACGTCTATTGCCAATCTTTTTTTTTCTTTTGCTTGAGGAAGATTAGCCCTGAGCTAACATCCATACCAGTCTTCCTCTATTTTGTATGTGGGTCATTGCCACAGCATGGCTTGATGAGTGGTGTAAGTCCACGCCCAGGATCTGAACCCACGAACCCAGGCTGCCAAAGCAGAGTGCACCAGACTTAACCACCACACCATGGGGCCAGCCCCTGTATTTAATTTTAAATACTCAATAAAGTTATCTATGTCCATAATAGAACTTTTCAGTACCTATAAAATCAGGTTTATACAAAGCAGATATTATTTCTAGTTTCTTTCAGTTCACATGGGAGTGGATATATAGAATGTAGGCTTATCCTAATGTATTTTATATTTCAAAAGGCATTGTATATTTTAATTTTAAACAACCCTATTTCTTTCCAAAGTATGTACAACTTCTTTCAGATTTCTTTTCTTTCTCTTTTCCCTTAGGTCTCAGCAAGAAGCAGCTGCCAAAAAATTCTTTTGACCACCATTTTCATATGTGTACATCATGTATGTTTGTACAAAATGTCTTTTTGAGGGAATTTAAGTATTTAAATTGCTTCATAGTCTAAATTATTAAATTTTGTGTAAAATAACCGTTTAAACATTGATTTGCAGTGAGAATAAACCGTAAAGACAACCACATGTAAATTTGTGCATAGTACATAAATCTATTTAAACTTCAGTGAATTTCTGGCCAGTAGAATACAGCCACCGAACAGAATATTGATAAGTAAGAGGGTAAATAATAGAAAGTGGGGGCCACCCTAGATAGGAAAGTTACCCCTAAGTCTTTGGTGTGGGAGGTTTCTTTAGGCAACGTAGACACACTTGCCCTCCTGCCCCAAACATCTGAGTTCTGAAGCTCCCCATCATGCTTATTTTGTAAGCAAAGCCTCTTTAGAGGTCCGAATTTCCTACTCTGAGACCCAGTCCTGCAATCCTTTAATACGACTCCGTTTGAAATCAAAGAATGTTTTGTCTGAGAACATAAGGATCTGAAAAATAGGCTTCAGAATGTTTATTCAAGTATTTTTTCCCTCTGTTTACCAAGGATGTATTTCACTTTTAAACGAAATTTTGGGGGAAAATTAAGAGCTGCTCTTTGCCTGAAAAACCATTTAAGTGAAAACATTCCTCTGATAATGGTTTTTATGGGTATTTTGCCTGGTAATGTATTTATTTCATGATTGCTCATATTCTTGAATGTCTTCATTCCAGCAGTGTCAGTAATATTATGAAAATAATTTTTGCATTTATATTTATAATTTAAGGAACTAACTTCTCCCTTTTTGTGTAGCATGTAGATTCAGCTCAGGTTACATGTTCTGAGGATATTTTCAGTCCACAAAGCCTACCACTATGTCCTGGTTTCCATTACTCCGTGCAGCCTGGTGGTGCGACTGCAGACTCGTCTAAATCAAGGAGGCTGTAGGAAAAGCAGTGTTAAGATTTTTGAAGGAGAAATTTGAAAAATAGAGTTAATACTTCTGATTTTTCTTTTAATGCTAGAACTAAGGGTATTGTGAAGGACTTGTTAGTAAGCTTAACTTTGAAATGTCAGACTGGAAGAGGTTGTTTGAGTCTTTGTACAGAGTTGTTCTAGGTATTATAGCAACAGTCTGTAAATGACATTTCAAAATGCACACAATTTTGTTTTCACAGCTGGTGTAGACTTATTTTTGCTGGCTTCAAGATACTCTTTTACCTCTTTTAAAAGGCTGAAGTGGTTATCTTTCATTTGTCATAGAATGCAAAATAATACTGTTTTATAAAATAGTACTATTTAATTCTTGCAAGTCTTGATAAATTTGCTCTCAAATGTCATTTACAGATTGGGCTAATGGCCCAAAATCTATACAAAGACTACAAAGAACTCTGCATTATAGCAATACCTAACTAGTACTATGTACACGAGCAGTCCAAGCGTTGCTTTTTATATGAGTTTTATCCCAGAACACTGAACGAGAATATTCTAATGATTGCTCACTATACTCCAGTCACTTCAACACAGAAAATGCTTCTCTATTGTTTTTCCTTTGCAGTGTTAACATTTTGAAATTCATGTTTCAGAAACATCATCATCACAGAATTTACTCAATCTATGAAAAAAATTTATACCTTCAGAAGAATGTTTAAGTTGTAAACTATGACACTTGGAAAATCCTCTTGAGATAAAAAGCTGCAAAATATCCAGTCTGATAAAATCCGTGGCCACATGTGCCTGAGCTTATTAAAGGAACGCCAGCTCTGTGCAGCGTGCTTGTTTCAGGCTGGAAGTCAAGGGGAGACCTGATCGTCCTTCGTACAAGTGGAGGCAGCTCTTAGGAAAGAGCAGGAGCAGGAATTCTTTTCCTTTTTTACTTAGTAATTTCATTTGCTTGCAAATCCCTCAGTAAAGCAGTTTGCACAGGGTGTTTATCATATTATTTGACTTTTGGTGTATTTTCCTCAACATCATTGAAGTAGCTCATTTCTGAAGAAACGTTTGCTCTGTGGAAAAATCAATCACTGCCAGTGTTCTTTCATATCTGTACTATTTTGTATTAACTGAGTTTGTTAACCTCTCTCACACCAGCAAGTATTTTACAGGTGCCTTGGATGAAAACATAATTGATTTTAAAATTTTAGAGTGAGTCATTGTGCTTATGATGCCACTTTTTAAAAGAAATGCAATTACATAATGGCTGACACCCTTATTTAACATACCTATTTGTGTTCTGATTGTTTGGTGGTTTTATTCAGCTTGAAACTTGACTGTAAAGCCACAAACAAACAATATTTTGTTATGTATTAAAGGGATATCACTGATTCTCAAAGTGTGGTCCTAGACCAGCTGGCTCCCAGAGTGCTGGTCAGGAATTCAGATTCCGGGCTCCCTTCCAGTCCACCTGGGTCAGACTCAGGCCTGGGGCTTCAGATCATCAGTTTCAATAGGCGCCTCAGGGATTCTGAGCAGGCTGATGTTTGAGAACCACTAAGATGGGAGTGGAAAAAAACAAGTGCTTCGCTTTGTTGGTTTAAAGCTGAGCTGAGAGCATAATATAACATTTTCCTTGTCAATGACATTAGCAAATGTGCACTGATTGTTTCATACTTAAAATTTACTTAATGTTCTTTTTAGTAAAACTCTTGGTTTATTAGCAACTACAAAGTAAACACAGATTGTTGCCTGTAGCTCTTGGTACTTTGATTGATGGCTTTTAAACTTACTAAATTATCTTCAGATCATGGTCAAGCCATAAAAACTCCCATCTTCCAGTCTGCCTGCTAAAGCCTTTTGCTTTTCTGATTGTTATTTTTGTGACATTTTATCTCAGACGGTTGTGCTTTTTGATAATTTGGGGAAAACAGAAATTACTTGAATAAGGGATTGCCTGACCCACTGCATTGTGGAGACACAGTCTTTGCAAAGAACCTAAATAACAGTTGTGAGTATTCAGATGTGATTATCTTTTCCTGTCCATGTGCTTATCACAGGGAGATCATGAACAAATGATTATATTGGGGTTTTTTAAATTTATAAGATCTAATGTAAAATCACCACTTGCAACTTTTTAGATCTGTGTGTTGCCTGTTCAGTGTATTTCTTTTAAAGTTTAAAAAGGTTTTCTATCCACTGTCAATTTCAATTAGATAACATTTTGTCAAGTGTTTTTTTCTGATTGTTATTTGATGCTAGCTGGAATTCAAGAAATGACATCGACCTTATTCAAATAAAGAAATATTTTAGTAAATTTCCTCTTTCTTTCATTGATCTTGGATAATAAGTAGTTTATTTTCCAAATAGGCCTGGATTTGTGATAGTATTTCATTTATTATGTGCTATGTGTTCTGCCCTAGGTGGCTTACCACCTGCAGAGGATGCATAAAAAGAGAAGTAGAAATGATGATGGAGAAATGCTTTACCCTTGCTGGTAATGAAAAATACAAATTAATTAAAACAATGCGTTTGATATTCTCACCTTTAATAACCAAATACTGGTAAAAGTAGAACTCTTAGTCATTATTAAAGGCAATTTAAAAAAATCTTTTAGAGCCGGCCTGGTGGTGTAGTGGTTAAGTTTGGTGCACTCCACTTGGGTGGCCCGAGGTTTGCAGCTTTGGATCCTGGGTGTGGACCTACACCACTCATCAAGCCAGGCTGTGGCAGTGACCTACATACAAAATAGAGGAAGATTGGCAACAGATGTTGGCTCAGGGCCAATCTTCCTCACCTTAACCAAGTAATTCCAAATCTGAGAGTCCACACAATATAAAAAGGAAAGAGTAGAGCTTTGATGTCAGACAAACCTGGATTTGAATCTTGGCTCTACCACTCCCTGAAGATGACCTTCAGTTCCTCATAATATTTATCTCACAGGGTTGGTAGCATTGTAAAACACACTCTTTATGAAGTGGTTTCAGAAAATCGTAGACTAAGGTAATGGACCCCTCTTCTGCTACAAACACAGAAATACTGGATAAAATAAAAGATTTAAATAAGTTATACGAGTTTGAAAGAAATCAGAAGAAACTTAAAAACCTAATCAGTGAGACTTCTAGGGGAGGGTTGTTAAAAACTAGACCGTAGATAGGTCCTGGATGCTGGTTGGAGGTTATCAAGTTCATTGGGGGCACTGGGGACATGGCATTGCAGGTCCTCATACAGATTGGGGATTTTATTCAAGTTCGATAAAAAGCCTTTGGAGGGGTGAAACCTAGTGGTTCTATTTCACAAATCCTGGGGTATTTATTTTCCCTTTCTGGAGGAATGAAAGATTCTATACACAGCAGCGAATAGTTTACTGGATGTCCAAATGGAAAGACCATTGTAATAATTTGAGGAATAAAAAGGTTTTGAAGATACGATCTCATTTTCAGTGAAGTTATCTGTTGGGGAAACAATGAGAAATTTGATTTCATAAAACAAAGCAATACCAGGGAGTATTCAGTCACTACACTGGTATAGTTATCACCTAAGGGTCTGTGTAATGCCTGACATCCCCCCACACACACAGAAAAGGGCTGGCCGGGGACGGGCTGCTTTACAAACTAACTTTGGAGTTTAGAATTGACACCCTCACTGTTGATAATATTTCGTAATTCCTAATAAATTGGAATTTTAATAATAGATTTTATAATAATCTAAATCCTTTAATAACATAATAAAATGGATTTTAATTTTTATTATTTGGGTTTTTGTTGTTTTGTTCTTTAAGAAATAATATCCTCTGGGGCCGGCCCGGTGGCGCAGCGGTTGAGTTCGCACGTTCCGCTTCTCGGCAGCCCGGGGTTCGCTGGTTCAGATCCCGGGTGCGGACATGGCACTGCTTGGCAGCCATGCTGTGGTAGGCGTCCCACGTATAAACTAGAGGAAGATGGGCACGGATGTTAGCTCAGAGCCAGGCTTCCTCAGCAAAAAGAGGAGGACTGGCAGTAGTTAGCTGAGGGCTAATCTTCCTCCAAAAAAAAAAAGAAATAATATCCTCTGATTCAGACCTACCAAGCTGGCTGTAAGTATAGCTTTGGGGATTTCACTTTCTGACCAAAATATTATATATAGGACAGATCTTCAGCAGATTGTCCTTTTCTTTGGGAAATAAAAGTGTTTTTTAATATCATGAAATACCTGTGCAGTATTTTCTAAAGGGGAGTTATGCTGAACTGAGAAAATAAAGCAACAACAGAGAAACAGGCTATGGCTTTTACTTTATCATCTGAATTCTGTAAGACCTTATTAATTAGTAACCATCCTCAATGGAGATGAATATAACTGATTATAAATGGTAATTTAGAGAGAATGGTTTGAATGGATTCAGCTCCAGGCAGCGCATCTAGAAGTGAAAGGAGCTAATTCTTAATGTACCTTCTCAATCAGAGCTCTGGGTAGAGTTTCTATCTCACCCTTAGTCTTTGTCAGTCTTTCAAACTGGACCATTTTTAAATAGGTTAGTAAAAGGGAAAGCAGATCTTAAAATATATAAAACTAGCATTTTAGGCAAAAATCCAGATTATATAGTTCTATACAATCTGAAGGGTAGTCATCATCTGAGAGGGCTTATGCCCACGGATAAAATAATAAGCATGGGTTACAGCAGCCGACACCTCTTCCGTCTGCCCCACCCCCTCCTGGAGTGCTTTAATTAGAAAGATACTAACGTAGATTAAAGTCTTAGCCATACTCAATTCCTCCCTTGACCTGAAGAAAACCACCACCAGTGAGAATCTGCTGCATTGCAAAACGGCGTCAAAAGTTTTATCCGAGTACACCAGAGAGCTTAAGTAGAGCTCCCAGGAGGCGGACTGTATGTGAGAGAAAAAGGTGACCCCACTACACATTGATGATTTAACTTACATTCTTCTTACCTTCTCGATCAGAGCATTGACAGTGTCCAGCGCATCATTTCCACACAAAAGTGTTACATGTCCCTGCACGAGAAGGCTGAGGTCATCTTCCAGATGTAAATTAAGGACCCGCTGGCTGGCCCCTCACACTTGTCTCAGTTGGATATTTATGTATGGGACACGGTAACCGCTGAACCAGTACTGAATTCAAAGAAACCAAAAGGCAAATCCTTGCCTAGTGCTTAGAGTCCAATGAGATAAATTGATGGATCAAAGGATTATTTTTGCTTAATGAAGCATTTTGGGTTTGAATCTCACTGGACTCAGTTTTCAACAGGATGTTGTGCTCAAGGGCTGGAATTTGGAAATTCCAGTACAGCCGTATAATCAGTCAACTCTGATTAATTTAATTGAAACAGGACTCTTGATGAAGCCCTGCTGTGCTTATAATTTAAAATTTAGAAATGGTTAGAGAGAGCGGTAGGTAGTGTGAGGGATTTTTTTCCCTCTGAAATTAGCTTAGTGTATTCGGAAAGTAGTCCGTTGCATCTGATTCTCTGCCTCAGTAATCTGAGCCATCTGCCTCTCTGTGCTAAGGATTCTCCTCTTTAATCCAGCTTATAGCCCACAAACCACTCTTCTCTATCGTTATGCCCTTGAATAGATGAGGCTGTGCAAAGTCCTTTGCTCTTAAATGTGTTGCTGTCATTGAGGCTATTTGGAGATTTTCGTCATTTTTTCTTTTTCTTCAGGTTTTGTCTGAGTTGGTTTTATTTTTCCGGGGCAGACACAATGGCTTTCTTTATGAAAACTATGATAAGTAACCAGGTAAAGAATTTAGGATTTGGTGGCGGGTCTGAAGAAAAAAAAGAAGAAGGAGGTGCCTCTGATCCTGCAGCAGCCCACGGGATGACTAGAGAGGAGTACGAGGAATATCAGAAGCAAATGATTGAGGAGAAGTGAGTACACGAGCTTCATTTCCCTTTAAAGCAAGAGGAATTAATTCTGGCCCTGCCTCCTTCAGCTCCCTCGTTTCTTTCTCTTTGCTCTTTCCATGGCTTTCCTAATGCGCTGTTGGCCTCTAACCCTAGGAAATCATGTTCTGCGAAAGTGAACAGTTTCCTAGCCTCAGCAGTGAGTGTGTCCTACTTGTATGAATGGAAATGAAAAATGATAAGTGAATCTACATGTTCCTAAAGCAGCTGAACACTGTCTGGTCTAGGCACATTTTCATTGACCTCAATTTAATTGTTATGGCAAAAATTTGTGAGCCTATCTTTACAGTCTTTCCAAAATTCACCCTCCTAACAGGTGGAAAGCCTTCAAAGTCTAAGAATTCAGACTTTGCACCTGGAAGCAGGCCTTCAAGAATATACAGTTCAACCTTGATCTTACATGTGTGAGAAAAAGCCTGGAAAGCACAACATGACAGTTATGTCATAAGACTTGGCTTCTCAAAGACTATGAATAAATTAGTAGACTGTTGATTATGAAAATTTTAAAGATACAGAAAAGAATAACAGTATAATGAATAGCCATATCTACCTATGACATTAAGTTGACAGCTAATATTTTGCCATATTTGCTTGTAGGTAGATTAGTTGTACAGAAGATAGATAGATATCGTGAACCATTTTTAAAGTAAATTATAGACATCATAATATTTCACCCCTGAATACTTCAGCCACATCCTTCCAAAACAGACATTCTCCTGGCTATGTGAAATGTAATAAAAATAAAATATTTGTAACGTTTAAGTTGGATGTTATGGAATCTGAATATCACCAACAAATTTTACTGCTGAGACTGATTTTTAAATAAGTGTAATCTATATATAATTTTCTTAAGTTTAAGGTAAAATTAATTTGTCTTTTAATAATCAATTAAGAATTGAAGCATCAATCTTGAGATTAAATATGTTACAAGAGAAATGTATTTCTTCTTGCCACCATGGCTATTTTGCTAACAATCAATTACATAATAGTTGCCCAAGTCCTATGGCTAAGATAGGTGAAAAGGTTAATGACCTGGAGGAAACCAAGGAAGTGTAAAGGCCGACATTTAATGAAAACCTCGTCTATTGTATTTTTTCTGAAAGAAATTATGGCTTATAAACTACCTAGAATGTATTACGCTTGGCTCTGCAGTACATTAGTCAGTGAAAAAAAAAAGTAAATGCAACTACAAAAATGATGTTGGTGCTACAATGATACTTGGGCAAAAATAGCAGCATTCCTCGAATATTGGCTAGTTTTGCCTATGGCATGTAAAAACACTGCAAGTATCGTGAAGAGACAGAAGTGGAATAGCACCAAACGTTCTCAGCTGAAGTGGCCTAAGGAAAAGAAATGGTCAGAAATTTAGACTATGTACCTGATCATGTAAAATATCATTTAATATGTCCACGCAATAAATCTGGTTGCAGATATGGCATCTGTTTGATTAACTAATGTCCTAATTTTACTTATTTTTATATCTGGGCAGATCAAAGACTAAAATGCCCAAACGGTGTGGCCAAGCAGTGGATTGGGGTATTTGCCAACTACTCGGCTTTGTGTGTGTGTGTGTGTGTGTGAATATTATAAATTTATGTAGTCACCCAATTTAAGAAACAGCAGGCCAATGGGGCTAGCCTGCTCTCCCATGGCAAGAGGCAGGATTTCCAGTCCACTGCTTGAGTTTTCAAGAGCTTCATCACCTAGAATACAACATAAAGCAGAAGGCATCAGAAATGGTTCATCACAAGTTACGTGTAGAGAGAGTTCTGGGCATTATAATAATATTAGCAAATGAAAGCTCCCTAAACCTGTCCTCAGCATTTTAGAAAAGTCGTGGGATTGACTCTACTAACTATAAACTAAAAACTACCTAACAATGCCCTCTACGGCACACTCATTTTTATTTTACTTCTATGTTCAGATTTTTTTTTCACTACTGGTAGCGTTAGTACTGAAAGAGGTCTATACCTAAATAGAATATTTGGAAAGGTCTAAGTGTTTACCCCTCCATTTTTCTCAATTATATTAAAGTGTCCCTTTACCTTAGTTATGGTACAACTGCTATGGTACCATTTGTAACTTGAACTTTGATATACATCACAGACCTAAACATAAAAGTTAAAATTATAAAGCATTTAAAAAAATATAGAATATCTTTGCAAGTTGGAATTAGGCAAGAATTCTTCAACATGACTCCGAAAGTAGTAACCACAAAATTTTAAAATGACAAATTAGATGTTATACAAATTAAAAGCTTTCATGCATCAAAAGAGACCATTAATAAATAGGCAAGCCACAGACTGACAGAAAATATTTACAAGACGTATATCTGACAAAGGACAGGCAGCTAGGATATATAAGGAATTCCTACAACTCAACAATAAAAGCAAAAAGAAAAGGGCAAAAGAGTTGAACAAATGCTTCACAGAGATATACAAATAGCCAATTAGTACATGAAAAAAAAAAGCCTGGTATCATTAGTCATCATGGAAATGAAAATTGAAATCACACTAAAGTTCCACTACATACACACCAGAAGGGCTAAAATTACAAAGATTGAATACCCAGTGGTGGCCGCAATGTGGGACAACCAGAACTCTGATTCCAGTGGATGAGATGTGAGAGAGGGTGACCACTTAGAGAAAGGCCTGATGGCGTCTTGTAAAACTGCACTTGCTCAGCAAATTACCCTTTAACTCAGCAATTCCATGCCTAGATATTTACCCGGAGGAGATGAATATATATGTCCACAAAATAACTTGTACAAAAATGTTCATAGCAGCTTCCTTCACAGTAGCCCAAAACGGGAAAGGGTCCAGGTGTTCAGCAACAGCAGAATGAAAAAACAAATGTGATATGTTCGTATAGAAGAATATACTCAGCAATAAGAAGGAACAAACTACTGGTAAATAAAACAACCTGGGTAAACTCAGAAGTTTTTATGCTGAGTGAAAGAAGCCTCACACAAAAGAATTCATAGTATATTGTTACATTTACATGACGTTCTAAAACAGGCAAAACCAACCTATGGTGGAAAAAAGACAGTGGTCATCTCCAGGACTGGGGAGCGGGAGTTGATTGGGAATGGGGGATGAGGGAATTTTCTCAGGTGATAGTAATGGCTTTTATATCTTAATAGGGGTTTGGGTTACACAGAGAAACAGAACCAATAGGAGAAATATATATATATATGTATGTATATATATATGCATATGTATATAGATGTAAATGTATGTATGAGAATTATTATAAGGAGTTGGCTCACGTGATTATGGAGGCCGAGAAGTTCCACGATCTGCCGTCTGTAAGCTGGAGACCAGGAAATTCGGTGGTGTAGTTCTGAGAAGTGGGGGGCTGAGGGTGTAAGTCCAGTCAAGGACAGGAGGAGATGGATGTCTCAGCTCCAGCAGGCAGCCTGAATTCTCCCTTCCTTTGCCTTTTGTTCTGTTCAAACCCTCGAAGGATTGGATGACACCCACCCACAGTGGGGAGAGCAACCTGCCTTACTCCGTCCATCGATTCAAATGCTAATCTCAGCTGGAAACACTCTCCCAGGCAGACCCAAAAATAACGTTTAATCTGGGCACCTTGTGTCCCAGTCAAGTTGACACATAAAATTAACCGTCACAGCATGTTTAAGATCTGTGCCTTTAATGGTATGCAACATTTTACTTCAAAAGAAAGAGGAACTATAAGCAAATATGTAACTGTAGTTAATGGTATGCATGTCGAAGTGTCTGGGGGGAAGATTACTGATGTCCACAACTTTGAAATGCATCAAAAAATAAGATGGATAGATGAACGGATAGAGGGGGATAGATACGGGATAAAACATGTTTAGTAAGATGCTAATTGTAGGCTCTAGATGGTGAGTACATGGGTTTCGCTTCCCATCCTTCCTTCAACAATTCTGTATGTTTGAGAATTTCATAACAAAATATTGAGGGGAAAAAAGGCGTGCTTCTGCCCTCTCCACAGGTCACTGATCTCTTGGGCAAGTCACTTATTCTGTTTCCTTCTCCAAAATGAGAAGACTGAGCCCCGTGTTCTCTCATGCCTACTTCAGGCCTGACATTGGGGGGGGGGGGGGGGGGGCCAGGGTTCAGAGAGGACCTGAGCCGGGGCCCAGGGATGAGGAGGGTAATCTGGTTGCTTCAGCTCTCCCTTCAGTCAGCCTACCACGTGATGGTTAAGATGATTCCAAAATTTGGAGTCAAGAAATAGAAACCAATTCAATGAAATGAAATGGACTGAAATGAAAACAGGGAATTTATTTTAATGCAAATAATGCTTCATGCAAAGATGCTTCACCAAACCCTCGAGCAGAAATCCCACCAGGCGTCCCATGGGCCTACACTGTGAACCAGAAAGCTCTCGGGAAGCCACGAACGCTCTTTCCACCTCTTGCCATTGCTTCTACCTTCATATGGTTGCTTTGTTCTTTTTTCTCAGCAGTCGGCTCTCTCAGGCTCTGTTACCCAGACCACGTGCCCAATGGAAAATGGCAGCCGCTGGCCTCCAAGTTCACCTGTTAGGGTTCCAGCCTCGCTGCGAGTCTCTGTCTTTCTCAGTCCCAATCCCAAATTCCCAAATGAGAGATTTCATTTACCCAGTTTGGTCCAATCCAATACAGAGGAAGGGCAGGGCTAGGGGTATCAATTTAGCTCCAAATGGGCAGCTGGGAGGGGAGGCAGTTATTGTGAGCCTCACAGACATCGCAAAAGGTGTCTGCTTCTGTCTGCATCATCATGGGCAAGGGAGTCCATTTCAAACCAGCATAATCACGAATCCAATTAGGTCATCCCCGGAGCACTATGGAAATTTACCCTTCATCGTTTGGGGCTGCCTCTTTCCAATGGGAAAGGAAACACTGCACCTGAATTCGGATCTAGAGGGAGTGACAACGAAGGGAAACAGACTTCTATTACATCTCCAAACACCATGTGCCTCCAAAGGACCCCGGTCCTGGGGTCTGTGACCTGGATTAGCTTGCCTAAGAATTGTTCAGGGAGCTTGTTAGACATGTAGCTTCCCCTCCCCACCCCCAGGGATTCTGATGCAGCCGGACTGGGATCAGACCCAGGCGGCCACATTCTCAACAGGCGCTCACAGTGATGCTGATGCTGGTCCCAGGTCACACTTAGAGCAACACGGTGAGGTCAACTATACGGCAGGAGTAGCTACCCTGGCCCTCTCCTGGGCTGTGTCATAAAGAGAGTGCCAGAACCAAACTGTCTTTGGGGTTTAGGGGTCTGTCTGAGTTACGACAGTGGAATGACAGAGAGGCAGATGTTTGGGGACTTGGGAAAAACTCTCCCATTTCCCAGGCAGTGTCTGCAGGCAGTGGGGACTCGGAAGGCATATCCCAGTGTCTGGATCTCTGAGCAGGGGCTGGAACGTCCTTAGCTCTCTATGTCATTTGATCCTTTCTTCTATTCTTTTACTTCTAGGATGGAAAGAGATGCTGCGTTTACACAGAAAAAGGCAGAGAGGGCGTGCCTCCGAGTTCATCTCAGAGAAAAGTACAGACTCCCAAAGGTGAGACACTCTTAACACAGTAAACATCCAGTTCTTTCTTTCTCTTTCTTTCTTTCTTTCTTTTTTTTTTTTTGCTGAGGAAGATTTGCCCTGAGCTAACATCTGCTGCCAATCTTCCTCTCTTTGTCTGTGAGCCACCACCACAGCATGGCCACTGAGAGACAAGTGGTGTAGGTCTGCACCCGGGAACCAAACCCTGTCCACCAATGTGGAACGTGCTGAACTTAACCACTAGGACACCACGGCTGGCCCTCTGGTCATTTCTTACATAATGAAAAATGGAGAATGTTTGTTGATCAGCAAAGGGTCACACTCATAAATATGTTTATATACACACATATATGCACATGTATACACGAATGCATAAAGATACATATATACATATTTGTCTTAATTTTAACTGAGGTGTTTAATGTAGTGAAAAGAGCATTGAACTGGGAATTCATAAAAACTAGATTCCAGTCATTTTACCTCTATGAACTAAAGACTATAGAACTTCTATATATCAACACGCAATGGGGGTAAATAATCACGGCTGACGTTTATTGAGCTCTAAGTGCTTTGTGTGTATCAATTCATTTAATCCTGTAAGGATTAATCAACAGTCCTGTGAGGTCAGTTCTTACAGTAGAGGGAACAGAGACACAAGGAAAGTCACCAACCTCCTGCCTAAGGCCACACAGCGGAAGGCAGAGCCCAGGGTCCTGACCTCTGTAATACTCTGTCTCTATTTCAAAGGAACGATGGCTCCTTCTTTTTGGAGACGTAGTAGTGCTGGTCATCACCTAGCACCATCTATCCATCTTGGCGCCGGCTGAGAGGACAAATGCCTGTAGGATCTGGTGGAGTAGTCGGTTTAGAAAAGTTGTAGGGGGCCCTGCCCGGTGGTGCAGCAGTTAAGTGTGCACGTTCTGCTTCTGCGGCCCACGGTTCACCAGTTCGGATCCTGGGTGTGGACATGGCACCGCTTGGCAAGCCATGCTGTGGTAGGCATCCTGCGTATAAAGTAAAGGAAGATGGGCACGGATGTTAGCTCAGGGCCAGTCTTCCTCAGCGAAAAGAGGAGGATTGGCAGTGGATGTTAGCTCAGGGCTAATCTTCCTCAAAAAAAAAAGTTGTAGGATTGACTCTGCTAATTGTGAACTAAAAACTACTCAGCGATGCACTACTTCACATTCATTTCTCTCACCGGCTGAGAGGTGGGACGAGGATGTGCGGCTGTGTTACAGCAGGGCTCCGATGCGCTGGTCCAGGACTTGCATCTGGGGGGACAGGGGGCCCAGCACTTTGCTCCTCTGGCTCACTTCTCATTTCCCCCCACCCGGGGATCCACCCAGCTCCTCTAAATGACTCCATCTTCACCTTCCGGGTTAGGAGTTCAACCCAGTATTCCAGAGCTGCACCTTCCCTTAGAGAACTTCTTCCACCTGCTGAAGCCAAAGAAGATGATCCCTCCAAAGTGCATGACCCTCTCCCAAGGATGAGCGCCATCCTCCAGTCGGCTGGGTGGTTTAGAAAGTGCCGCTAAGCCAATTCCTTCAGTGGGTCCCCTGCAGATCCTGGAGAAGTTTAACTTCAGAAGCTACAAGCACTAAACAAAAGGAGACAGGTCACTGTCCATGAAAGGTCACTGTTGAAGTCAGCAAAGAGTTAGACAGCCCCACCCTGTGGGAGAGATCGATCCCTAAGACCCAGGACCCCAGGTTCTGCTCTCAGTGAGGGGAGGAAAACTCACAATGAAATTTAAACTTACTTTCATTTGCAACCAACAAATGTTGAAAAGAATGTCTTGCTTTTTGTACCCTGTATCCAATTCAGGACTTTCTCCCACTGTGCTTGAATTTTGGAAGAGGGGAGCACTTCTAAACACTGTCCTTCCACTCCCGTAGTCTAGTGGATTTCCCGAAACTCCCCAGGGTGTCACTGGCTATCCTCAGCAACGTGGCTTCCCCCAGGCAGGCTGCCTGACTCAGATTTACACTCCTGCCTCCTGCCGTGGGTGCATCTGATTAAAGACCACAGATATTGTTGGGAATGAAGCAGAAATTAAACACACACACACATACTCACACACATGGCTAACTGGCCGTGTCTCTTCCACAGAAGTGGAAGGTTTATTTTAAAGATTTATTTTTGACAACTGTTCTATTGTCCTTCTGTGGGATATAAGGAGAACTGGGCTTCCATTCTGGCTCTGCCACTCAGTCAGGGTACAACGTCAGATGGCTTTTTAAAATATCTGAGCCTCAGTTTCCTCATCTATAAAATAGGGGCAATGATACCTACTTCATAAGGTCTTCATCTGAGATAATATAATGTAAGTAATCTTGTACAGGGGCTGAGTAATGGAAGGAGCTCAGTAGACGATAGGTCTTATTATTGCAGTTATTGTATCTATGCACAGAAGTCTTATTTCTAGATAATAACAACCAGGGGCCTTGAAGACCTTGGGTAAGCACACTGATGTGTGTAAACAGTGCAACAACTCGAGGTCCCTGAACCTCAAGAATCTTAACTTTCGGTTGTTTTCTTTCTTAGTGGTGAGTCGGTGGTCTTGCTCATTTCCAGATCCTCAGAGGTGAACACCTTCAGGCTTAGCAGCAAGGTTTTGATGCTCTTCAGAGAAAAAATACTTTCCTAATCTCTGAGCTAAGCTATCCTTTGGGACAGGAGCCTTTCCAGCAGAAACTAGGGAAAGAGGAAATAATTATAGCCATGAAATGTGCACATTCCTATCCTCCCTGGAGAGGGACAGGCCCTGGGGAGTGACAGTGACTCTATCTGCAGAGGCTACTGCTCCCTAAAGCCAGTGGGCAAGGACATGAGAAAGGTGATAAGCTGTTGCCAGTGGAGCCCAGGGCCTTCCACTGCGGGGTTCACCAGTGCTCATACACCCCTTTTTGTAGCTGTTTCCGATGCCTGGTGCATGTGAGACCTCACCTGATGTCTTTCATGGACCCTGAAAGAGACCTGTGAGTTCTTCTAAGAATCGAGTGCCTCTGCTTCGTTTCAGACACGAGGACACTGCAGCCCGGGGAGTTAAGTAGTTGTGCACAAACCCACGGCTGTCGAGTGACAGGCCAGGACTGGAACTCAGGCCTCCCGACCATGAAAGGGCGGCTTAGGCACAAAATGGTTTGAACACATCTCCCTCTGGCCCCAAGGCCTCTGCTCCTTCTACTCTTAATATTAAAGGCATCCCAAAAGTTTAGTGCAGTTCTGAGCTCCACATGGCTTAAAACTGCACAAAAACTTTGGGGACAATCTGTACCGCTCACTGTTTCAGTGAAGTGTCACAGAATCCCACGCCAGCAGCCCAGGGACATTGCTTTTCTTTCTCCTGTGTTGTCTGATGACTTGACCACAGACCTGGGAGTCGCTGACTACATTCCAAATACGATCTCAGTAAATAGATGAGAATGTCACTGGAGAGCGTGCCACACGTGCTCCTTTCCTGTGGAGTTTACATCTGGATGGGGGCCTCCCTGGGCCGGTCTTATAGGGTGGCTGCATTTTGGGAAGACAGACTCTACACACAATGTTTCAAGAATTTGCCCCTAGTGTGAAAAAATACTAAAAATATGTACTAATGATACAATTGCCTGCTTTTTGTAAAGCATATGGAAATTCTAATCCAATGCACACTATCCATAAAACGGTAATTAACAGAAAGTATACCCTAAAAATCAACTGGACCATAGTCCACTGTGCCCAGTTATCATCAGATGTGGCTAAGGTCCCAACCTGTGTGCAGGGCCTTGTGTTTGAAGTTCAGCCCCACTCTTGGGCGCCCGCTCTGCCTCTTACGGCTGTCACAGGTTCTCCTCTCGCTCACGGCTGAATGAGGCTCAGTGGGCTGCAGCTGGCCTTCCACGGCCCCCGAGGCTGGAAAGGGGCCCTGGGGGACAGATGCATTTCCCGGGCCAAGATCAGCTTCCGGTGGCGGCCTTCTGTTTGTGCAGAACAGCCGCTCCTGTGCAGCGTGGACCCTGGCGTCGCTGTGGAGCGCACAGCAGCGGCCGACTGTGCGACAGGAATCGGGTCCCTTGCGCCCCCTGGTGTCCGGGACGCAGCGGCGCGGGCAGCCGCCGGCGAATGCGCCCTCGCCGCCCTAGCGCACCGGCCCGGCCTGTGTGCTTGGCTTTTCTGCGGGGCCTGTGGCTTGTAGCAGGGAGAGTGGTGGTCGGGGGTGGGGAACAGAAATAAATGCCTGGAGGTAACCTTTTTCTTTTGAAATCCGTTCTTTTCACATGAAGGACCAGACTGTGCATTTTATTCTAGCGAGCCTGGTGGGCCCTTCTAGAAGCAGCTGTCACAAAGCAGGAGGTGAGGAACGAAGTAGGGACAGGCTGGGAGGGGAGTATCTGAGCTGTGGGGTCCTCCCATGGTGTGCCAGGAGAGAGAGCCAGGACACAAAGGGCTGTTAGCTGTCTCTGCACCAACCAGGATGGTGAGGGGTTTTTGACTGACAGTAATCGAGGGAGAGTTGAAGGAATTGGAACATTCAGCCTTGAGAGCAGGCGACCTTGGGGCTGCTCGTTCCCCAGGCCTGAATGCCATGCTTTGCTTCTCAGACCATATCAAGCTGGCTTCTCTGGAGGGGCTCCTGCCACTGGCTGTTCTGGAACTGTTTGCAGTTCTTGGGGCTTTCTTAGATTATGCAGAAGGACCCTTCATAATAGAACCTTTAGAATGCCATGTGAAAACCACAATGGGAATTTAGGTTGTGGGTTTTCTTCTCCTGGATGATCCAGTAGGCAGCAAGGAGGCCCTGGAAGACTAGGCAGTGCCATGGGCATCACTGTGGTTGGGAAAGCTCGGGGCCATGGCCATGTGTCCAGTGAATTCGAGGGAGAGGAGTGAGGGGCCAGCCGGCCAGGGCTGCACCTTCAGAGCAGCAGGGGAGGGCTGCCAGAGGCCTGGGCTGGGGAGGACCTGCTGGCTGGAGATGAGCCAGCAGTTCCCACGTCCTCTGTAAGTCTCCTTCGTGGAGCTTGGCA